GCTTTTGACCATACCATCCAGCTATAAAGCGGGATATACCTGTTAGATTTCTGTATCCCATATTGGAATACTGAAGAGCCATTTGGCTTGACTCCTCATCTTTGTTACCAAAAACCCTAGTGGTGTTCAACATCCTCACCAGATGCACGAAAAGGACCTTGATCGCTATGTAGCAGTGATTTATAGAGGCCATTTGATCTCGGGGGTTGGAGGGATTTTGATCAGGAGAAGTTTGTTATTTATAAACATTTGCCCCTTGCGTATATTTGGCATGTCAGATGTTGTTCTTTGCACCAGGGCTTATTTTATGTTTCTGTTTTCGTATACAGACAACTTGGTGGGTTGGTAGCATTGGCAAGCTTAGATTTGTGCATCTGTTTCATGTAATTTGAGATATTAGTGAATCTGAAAATATTTGGTAGGGTAAAATTGGTGAGAGGGAGATCGTATTGAGAACAAATTGTTTGAACCTAGCGGGCTAACCACATATAGCTTGGTTGGTGAAGGGGCTTCATTACCTAAAATCCTCAAATTGAGATTTGTATTTCTTTCTCTTGAAGGTTTATCATTTTCACTGCAGAGTGGATTCAGACCCTCAAGTCATGGTTTGAAAAAGGCATACACCTCTGCTTGCACACTAGCTTCGTTTTTTTAATTGTTTCTATAAATGTTAACCTCACAATCAATAGATAAATAATAAGTAAAGACTATGTTAATTCAAACTGTTGCAGAAAAAATTGCTAATTTTTTCATCTTGTCTTTTTACTTAACCTGGCATGGAACAAGAGCAAGAGAGAAATGATAGGAAAACTTTTTCCATCTTCTCATTTGGAAAATGTTCTCTATCTTGTTGTTAAGAAAGTACCTAAGATACATACAAGTAAGGACATGGTGACTTTAAATGACAAGGCTCCAGCAAGAACTAATTATACATATAACAGATTTAACAGCCTCGATATGTAATCTCATTTCTTGGCCCTAGAGCTTAAAAGTTTATTACCCTCCATTTATCATATGTCAAGTATCCAACCATGATGAATCACCATTATATTGATTGTAGCATATGATGATTTCCATAAAAGCTGCTATTGTGTTCGTGCATCTATAAAAGACACATGAACAGCCTGGACAGGTAAATCAAATATTAGTGTCCTTTGCCCTAATGCAGTTGTATAAAAACCATTACTATAGTTTGCATCTGTAAAGTCTTAGCAGCATTTACCAACTCAGCTGCCTATAATGTAGGCACATCCCTATGTCGGGCTATTGGAAGGTTCCTCTATGTAAATCTTATTTGCACTCTCATAATGGCTTATTGTTTAATCCTCCGTCTCTCTCAAGCAACAATATGTGCCAATTAAACTCTGATGGACACTATGCATTTGCTCTTTGAATACTATTGTGAATGTCGATCTTCTCAGCTGTGCTTCTCAAAGTACCCTGCTTGTTAGTGATGAAGAGGAAAATGCTTCAATGAAGCATCAATAAATGAAAATAAACTCAAAAGTGAAACACAAGTTACAATCTTCCATTACTTCAAATTAGCTTGTTGAAAGCCTTGCTTGGGCCCTAAGAAAAATTCATTTTTAATGAGAGACTCCACCTTTTCTTCAGTGGATGAAAAGATTTATGAATAAGAATTCGCCATCCATGTCAAGTCAGCTAGTCATTCAACTAATCTTGTCCGCTTTGATCACTCTCCCTTTGTTGGTTTGAAAATTCGTAAATATTGTGAGATGTTGAATTCTTTAAATTGAAGTTCAATTTGTTTAACGAATATTACATCAGACTTTGCTGATAATGGCTAATCCATTCTGCTTCAGGAGTGGAGAAAGGCTCAAAAGAACCGAAGCTCGAGAAGGTAGGCAAAATAACCATCGATCAACTACGTGCAGTAGCTCAGGAAAAGCTGCCTGATCTCAACTGTACCACAATTGAGTCCGCGATGAGAGTTGTTGCAGGTACAGCAGCAAACATGGGCATAGACATTGACCCTCCAGTGCTGGAACCCAAGAAGAAGGCAGTGTTGTAGAATAAAACATTATGTAATTAGTGATTTCCTTTTGTGCTTGGTTTAATTTGTAATGTTGTTGGTTTTTGACATTTTTGTACATCGGAAGTTGCTGAAGTTGAGCAGGAGCTTGTATGCTTCTTTGAATGAACTTTACTACACTTCTCAAAATTGCGAGGCATGGTTGTGTTGAGCGTCTATCAGGGTTGCACTTCGGGAAATTTGATTTGACCTGATGCCTGTAAAGGTAGCGTAGATTTGAACAGGTATCATGTTGATTGGATTCTCTTATCTCTGCACATTTAAAGCCATTTTTCTTTCGCTTTGTTTAGTCGGTTGGTGGTGGGGGTTTAGAGCGTGCCATCAAGTTTGACCAGTGAAAAAGTTACGCTATTTTGCTGACCCCTAATGTTAAATTTCTGCATATAAATTCCTGAATATGGAAAACAAATCAAGAGTTACATGAAGGAATCTAAATGAGGATTATCGCACAATCGCGGTCAAATTGGCCTTTGAAACGAAAGCAAGCCAAGCGTGACTTTATTCAATAATGTTTGTTGCGCGTCTATGCGGAAGCGTTCTCGCACACCGAACGAATCTGTGATCACGGAAGAAGAGAACCAACCATACACGAGCACAATTTAATCCAAATATGACAAATCAAACCAAACACAGAGGTATACGTGGTTCGGCAATTTGTCTACGTCCACGGGGAGAGGATGGGGATATTTCACTAAATCAAGGAGAGTACAAGGAATCAGCTTGGAGGCTTCATGGTCGATCGCGAGTGGCGCGGCGGTCGACCGCGAACATGCACAGGTCCACGAAAAGTCTCTGGACTTTTTGCGATCGACCGCGACATCATGTGCGGTCGAACGCGCCAAACCTGTAATCAGCTTTGGTCTTAGGATTTTTTGCGGTCGACCGCGTCTGTATCTGCGGTCGACCGCGAGTCAGGTTTTTGGGTCTGGGCTCGTTTTTTGCTAAACTGTTTTAGAATCCTGTTTGTATTAACCCTTGTGTTATTTAAGGGGAGATTAGGGCAACTTGTAAGATTGATGAAAATAGTGAAATTTTCTCTGCGGCGACCGTGGATGTAGTTTCTCACATCGAGAAGTGAACCACATAAATATTGTGTGTTTTTTGTGATTGTTCTTTCTCTCTCTTCTCTCTCATCTCTATTTCCAAATCGCATCAGGGGTTAGATAAAATCCTATCAATTAGTATCAGAGCGACCAGGTTCGGCGCAGGCAATTTGAGGTCAGAGACATGGGATCTGAGAAGGAGACGTCCAAGATCGAGAAGTTTGATGGGACAAACTTTGGGTTCTGGAAGATGCAGATGGAAGACTACCTCTATCAGAAGGATCTATATCTGCCATTGGGAGAGAAGCCGACGGATATGAAGGATGAAGAGTGGAAGCTATTAGATCGGAAGGCCCTTTGAGCAATCAGGTTGATCCTGTCCAAATCTGTAACTTTCAACATCAAGAATCAGAATTCGACGACGGGTCTCATGGTTGCGCTATCTAGTATGTATAAACAACCCTCTACGACGAATAAGGTACATCTCATAAAGAAGCTGTTTAATTTGAGGATGTCTGAGAGCCAAAAATTCAAGGAACACCTGAATGAGTTTAATGAGATTGTAGATCAACTAAACTCCGTCAATATTAAATTTGATGATGAAATTCAAGCTCTGTTAATACTCAGTTGCTTGATAGTTGGAAGGGCACCGTTATTTCAATTAGCGGGTCATGTGAAAAATCAAAACTGAAGTTTTTAGAAGTTGTAGACATGATTATGATTGAGGAGATAAGAAGACAAGATGAAAGAGTTTCTAATTCAGGATTGGCATTGAATTTTGAGAGCAGAGGCAGAAATAAAAACAAAAATAAAGGGAATAGCCGTGATAGACCTAATTCGAGGAACGACAGGTCAAGATCCAAAAATCGCAAAACCAAGAAAGAGATTGACTACTGGAATTGTGGCAAGTTTAGGCACTATGAGAATCAGTGTCGAGAACCCAAGACTGAAGCAAACGTCGTCTCAGGAGAATCAAATGATGCCCTTATTTGCTCGTTGGAGAGCAAGACAGAATCATGGGTGCTGGATTCAGGAGCTTCAATTAATGCTACCTCAAATAGAGATTTATTTGAGAACTATGTTTCAGGAAACTTAGGAAAAGTCTATCTTGACGATGATCAACCGTGTGATATAGTTGGAAAAGGAGCGGTGCAAATTGAACTCAATGGGTTTATATGGAAGCTGAATGATGTGAGATATGTTCCTAAATTAAGGAAGAATCGGATTTCCATAGGACAATTGGCAAAGGAGGGATATACATCAACCTTCGCATGTGATACGTGGAAGGTTACCAAGGGGTCTATGATTGTTGCCTGTGGTACGAAGAGTGGATCTCTCTATATTACGACAAATGCACGTGGATCCATTCCAGTGGTTGAAAGTAAAGAAGGTCCAAATTTGTGGCAATAGAGGCTTGGTCACATGAGTAGCAAAGGCCTGAAGGTTATGCAGTCGAATGGAAAGTTACCAGGTTTGAGGTCGGCTTATTTTGACTTATGTGAAAGTTGCATCTCCAGGAAACAAAAGAGAATAAGTTTTAAAAGAGTTGGCAGAGCACTGAAGGAAGAGAAGCTTAAGCTAGTTCACACAGATGTGTGGGGCCCAGCATCAGTACAGTCCACCGGTGGAAGGTTATACTTTGTGACTTTCATAGATGATCACTCGAGGAAGACTTGAGTCTATTTCATGAAACACAAATCAGAAGTGTTTGAAGTCTTCAAGAGATGGAAGGCTATGGATGGCAGGTCTGGAGAATGAACTCCTCAGTGATCGGGTCCCGACAGTTCATCGCCTTGTTCCGGAACCTATTGACGAAGGTGTCGACCAACTCCCCTTCCTTTTGTTTCTCGTCGAGCAACGTTCCGATGGATATTTCAGTGTCGTCGTCGAAGAAGTTAGCGAGGAACTTAGTCTCCATGTCGTCCCAGCTGTTCACGCTTCCTGTTTCATGAAACACAAATCAGAAGTGTTTGAAGTCTTCAAGAGATGGAAGGCTATGGTAGAAAACAAAACTGGGTTGAAAGTCAAGAAATTACGATCAGATAATGGAGGTGAATATGAAGATTCAGAGTTCAAGAAGTTTTGCTATGATAGTGGCATCAGATTGGAGAGAATAGTGTCAGGTACACCTCAGCAAAACAACATAGCAGAACGAATGAACAGAATATTGACTAAAAGAGCTATAAGCATGCGACTTCAAACAGGACTCCCAAAGCAATTCTGGGCAGAAGCAGTCAACACTGCTGCCTACCTAATCAACTGTGGACCATCAGTGCCTTTGAAGCACAAAATACCTGAAGAAGTATGGAGTAAAAAAAAGGTAAACCTTTCTCTCCTAAAAGTTTTTGGTTGTGTTTCATATGTTCATTTGAGTGATCATGTTAGAAATAAACTTGACTCTAAGTCTTTGAAATGCTATTTTATTGGCTATGGTGGAGATGAGTTTGGCTATAAGTTCTGGGATGAACAGAACAAGAAAGTCATCAGAAGCAGGGACGTTGTATTCAATGAAGCAGTCCTATACAAAGATCGTGATGTTGTTAAGTCCACAAGCTCAGTGCAGTCCGAGCCGACATACTTTGAGCTAGATGATGTTCTAGAAGGAAGCAACTTTGAAGCTAGTTCTGATAAGGATGCAGGAGAAGAGGCTGAAGAAGAGATGATTGAGGAAACTACTTCAGAGGAGGTAGATATAGAGGTTGGTTCACCTGTTAGAGAGTTGAGGCGGTCAGCAAGAGTTCCAAAGCTAAATCCGAAGTATTCATCACTACAGCCCAGAGGTCATTTGAACTACTTATTATTGAGTGACGGTGGAGATCCAGAAAGCTATGATAAAGCGTGTCGAGTGGATGATGCAAGCAAGTGGGAGCTTGCTATAAAAAATGAGATAAAGTCCCTAAACTCTAACAAGACTTGGGAACTTACGAAGTTGGCAGTTGTCACGCCCCACTTCCTAAAATACTGGGGAATCGGAACGTGAACAAGCCTGTGACGTATTAGATTAAGGAGAATAAATAAAAAAATAAACATTTTTCCTCAACCTAATACGCGAAGCGTCTGGAAATAAATATAACGTGAAGTCACAGGTCCCCGATCACAGATAGCAAGAATATAATAGACAAACTCAGAATAAAATAATACATATCATAGATGAATATCATCCAAGACATAAAAATACGGGTCAACATGCCCTTATACAAAACTATCTGAATGAAATACTGGAGAATATAAAAATACATTGATCAAATGGAAATAAAAGGTAGTGCAAAAGAAAACTGAGGACCAATAACTAAGCTTCGGCTTCTTCTTCTACTCCGTCCGCTAGGCACTCCTGCTGAGAATACTCGGCTCTGGCGTATCTCCAAGATGGACCTGCTCTTCTTCTAAGTTTGACGCACACCAGAGAAAACAGGTGTACGTCAATGTGCATGACACACGGTAAGACCTCACAAAAGAAAATAGAACGATCGAAAACCCAAGCGAAAAACGATACGAAAACAGAAATGACAAAAGAACGTGCAACTAGAAATTCCACAAAATCAATCAAGTAACAAGTCGTTCATGCAACTAACGATCAGAATAATCATCTAACTAACAATGTCATACAACTAGATGGAATTAATACTTAAAAATCCACAACAAGAGACATAGTACGTCGAGCGAAATAATCCAAACAAGGAAACCCTCATGTATATACCTTATGTCTCAAATTATAGATAATTAAATATTAATCCCGATCTATGTATGGAAAGCAAGTACAACTGGCCTACATCTCACAGGAATTCATACTTAGCTAAGAAACAAGGTCATGTGACTAGCCATCCTAAAACCCACTGGTCTGTTGGACCCTAGAGGGGGGGTGATTAGGGTCAAGAGGCTCTAATATGCAATAAAAATCAAACACAAGCAAACCACGAAACAGTAATGCAATTTAAAGTAAAAGAGATAGGGTTAGGAATCGTTATCCTTGACGCGCGATGTGTTAACGAGGTTCGGCCCTCTGGCCTACGTCCCCGCTCCCCACTCTCGAGGAGAAATCCACTACACACCCGGTTTGGAAGCCGGAACTTCGTCTACACAGCGATCCCACACGATCTCTCTCACTACACAGTT